ATCCAGTCCAGATTTTGAGAACCTGAACCGAAAGGATGAACCCCAACAACACTACGTCAATATCCCGGTAAAGTATTGGTTATTATCATTGTCTTTAAAGAAACTGGACATAATTGTTCATGAAATCTGCATGGTTAATTTGTAATTTTATAAGTAGCTTGTCCTTCATTCTGACATTTTATCACATTATAAGAAGTTAAGATTACTTCTATTATTGTTATATTTATTTCTATTGCACTAGGGAGCTGTTGATGGCTACAGAGAAAGCAACTATCTCAGTATGAAGTCACCAGACACTGTAGGCTATTCCCGAGTCGGCTTAGACCATTCCTCTGTGTCACAGGGACTGAATCCATCACCCAACTCACACTACCTACCTATGAGTTCCACCAGAGGATCGGATAGCCCCATGGTAGACGTTTTTAGCCCACGTCCTGCTGAGGACTCCAGGTTCGTGTTCACCAATTACAGATACTGCAGAGGGTGTCTGTATGAAGGATATCCTTATTGAGTGTCACTATAGGCAATACCTCTCCTGTGGGTATCTCCAGCGTGATTGTCTAGACTGAGAGAGCCCCTACTGGGGGTCTGTATATTGAGGGTGAGAATAATGAAGGCATCTTCATTAAGAATGTCTCTGCTGTGGGTGTCTTAACTGGTCTCAGTGACAAGGAGATAAATCACTGATGAACTATGGTGAATATCTTACAAGAGACAGCCTTTTCATAAGACTGATAACTTCTGGACTGCAGGCCTCAGAATGTGCGAAGAAGCAGCATAAAAATGAAGAACACTCCATTTTCTAATGGGGGAACAAAGATTGGCACATAGTTTTTAAAATTTCTTTATTTAGCTTTTATTTCGTATTTAATTTCATGTCATATATATATAGTGTCAGGATATACACATATGTATATACATATATGTATTTATACGTGTGTGCGTGTATGTGTGTCTGTGTTTGTGTGTGTGTGTGTTTGTGTGTGTGTGTGCATCTGTATGTGTGTGTGTGTGCGTGCGTGTGTGTGAGTGTGTGTTTGTGTGTTTACATGTGCGTGTTTGTATGTGTGTGTGCATGTGTTTGCGGGCGTGTGTGTGTGTGTGTGTGTGTGTGTGTGTGTGTGTGTGTGTGTGTGTGTGTGTGTGTGTGTGTGTGTGTGTGTGTGTGTGTGTGTGTGTGTGTGTGTGTGTGTGTGTGTGTGTGTGTGGAAATGTACATATTTATGTGTATATATATTTATATGCATATATGTATGTATGTATATATGTATGTTTGTATATATGTACATATACACATAATATCCACATTTAAACACACGTACATGTACATATAAACATATACACATATACACATACATATATATATGTATATACATACATATGCATATATATGTATACAAATAAATATACATATTCATAATCATATACATATATATGTATGTAGACATAAACTTTTATATATGTATGTATGCATACACACACACACACACACACACACACACACACACACACACACACACACACACACACACACCACACACACAACACACACACACACACACACACACCACACACAACACCTGTATATTTATGTTTTTAGTATTTATCTACCTTTAAAAGTTTTAATTATATTCCCTCCTTGTTACTTTGGTATTTCCACTTTGGCTTCTTCTTTCTTTGATTTAACCTCATTACACATTACACACAGATTCAGCTTCTGCCCTGATGGGTCGGAAGATCCCGCCCTCAGTGACCCACCGGATGAGGAGGTGAAAGAAATGCTTGCTCCCGACGCACCCAAAGACCAGATGGTGGAAACTTCATTACTCATAAATGGAGGGTCCCAGCATGGGTCGAAAGACAGTCTTAGAGATTCTGAAAAGGACAAAGCCTCCCTAAAAAACTTGGAAAACAATTCTGCGAGAAACTCGTCGGACGATCTTAATGTGCCATATATTAATCTTGTGAGTCATGGATGTGACTATGTGAACATGTAAGGTGATAAGACTTACTATTACTTCATTTTGTGAAGTGTGTGTGCGTGAGACTCTGCCTCGTGGTACAAAATATTACTCTCGAATCATTCCAGTCTATTATTATTTTCCATTGAAATTTGGAATTACGGAACAGATTGGTGTAATGCTTCAGGAAATTGCACTTTAATGAGAACGTTATTTGTGTTATAGAAAGTGTGTCATGAGCATATACAGCGGTGCTTTGCTTTCCAGTGTCAAGTGAGTGTTGGTCGTAAAAGTTATATGAAATATACAGACTATGATTATGATACTTTAAACAAATAATGTACCTGTAAAACTTTTCTGCATTCTTTCATTCATTTTTTTTTTTATCTTCAAATATTTTGTTTAGTTTTTATAAATTAATTTTCTTTTTTCTTTTTCTTTTTTTAGTCTACATCAAAAATTATTTTCTCTAATTTTAAATGAAAACAGCAATTTTGATTAAGGTTGTGAATGAATTTGACTTGTATATATAAATGATC